TCTATATGTGTCAACCAGATGGGTATATAGTGAAAGGGAAGGAAAATTTGTTTTGCAAATTGAAGAAATCACTTTATGGCTTGAAGCAATCTCCAAGGCAATGGTATTTGAGGTTTGATAAATTTATGAGAGGCCAAAATTATTCTAGAAGTCAATATGATCATTGTGTGTACTTCAAGAAGTTGCAAGATGGGTCTTTCATTTATTTGTTGATATATGTTGATGATATGTTGATTGCCTCAAAGAATGTTGAAGAGATTGAGAAATTGAAGAAACAAATGAAGAACGAGTTCGAGATGAATGATCTTGGTGAAGCGAAGAAGATCCTTGGCATGGAGATCACTAGAGATAGAAAGAAGGGTTTGGTCAGTTTGAATCAAAGACAATACCTTGAGAAGTTGTTCCAGAAGTTTGGAGTTCATGATTCAACCAAACCGGTTACTACCCACTTGGCTCCTCATTTTAAATTGAGTTCTCTACAATGTCCTAAAACTGATAAAGAGAAGCTGCAAATGAAAAATATACCATATGCAAATTTGGTTGGTAGTTTGATGTATGCAATGGTATGCTCTAGACCGGATATTGCTCATGCAGTTGGCATGGTGAGTCGATATATGCATAATCCAGGTAAAGAGCATTGACAAGCAGCTAAGTGGATATTGAGGTATCTCCATGGTACTCGAGACGTTGGTTTATGCTTTGAGAGAGATGACTCTGGTATTGGTCATTTTGCAGTTGGTTATGTTGATTCAGATTATGCAGGTGATCTGGATGGAAGGAAGTCTACTACAGGCTATGTGTTTACTATGGCTAAATGGCCAGTTTGTTGGAGGTCCATTTTGCAGTCGTCTGTTGCCTTGTCTACTACAGAGGCTGAATATATGGCAGTTGCTAAAGCTATAAATGAGGCTATTTGGATACATGGGCTGATTAGAGATTTGGGGGTTGATCAGAAGCAGGTGGAGGTACATTGTGATAGTCAGAGTGCCATTTATTTGGCTAAGTATCAGGTTTATCATGCGAAGACCAAGCACATAGATGTGCGTTATCACTTTGTTCGTGAAATTGTTGGTGAAGGGGAAATCATTCTCCAGAAGATTCCAACTAAAGACAACCCCGCTAATATGTTGACTAAGGTTGTTGGTGTAGCCAAGTTTGTTCACTATTTGAACTTGGCTCACATTTTGCCTATATAAAGAAGGCGTTGAGCAGTAGGAGTTTTGGAGCATTTGGCTCGGCATGAGTTGTTCTCTTGCTAGTGTTTGGGAGTAATTTTTGTGTTGATTGTGTTGGTTGGCTTATCATGGCGTTTTCAGAACTTGACCAAGGTGGAGATTGTTGAATTAGTGGCCAAGTGGCCAACTTTTGATTAAATGAAATAAAAGAAAAGGTGGACAACATCATTGTGTCCCTTCCTTGTTTTAGGGAGAAAAAAAGGGCACCTTGTCTAAAGTCTTTTTTTTTTTTTTTGGCCCATGTGAAAAGCCTTGGGAATGGCTATGTTATGAATGAGGGCAGCTGCTGCCCTTTTGTTTTAGAGAGCAAAAAAATAGAGAGCCGTAGAGAAGATAGGGAGAGAAAGAAGGTATTGCTGCAGTCCCATTTCAGAGAAGGAGTTGTTGCTCCTTTCATTGGTTAGTTCTCACTCCATCAAAATGTTATTGTTGTAATAGCTTTGAGCTTTGTATAGAGAAGAAATTAATCACTATATTTCTTTCTCTATTTGTTTCTTTGGTGTGTGAGAGCTATTGTTTGTATTGGGGTTATTTGGGTTGTGAGCTTGCCAACACTTTGTAAACTCCCAATTGGTTGATAGTGGATTATTGGGTGAGCTCCTACTGCTCCGAGGACGTACTCCAGTTACACTGACTGTTGAGGAACCTCGTTAAAATCTTGGTGTCTTTTATATTTGTTCTTGCATTTTCAAATTGATATATTTCTTGTGGGTTAGCTTGAGTTGGTTCCAACGGGTTTGGTGTTATCCTAGCACAACATTTAGTGGTGCTAAGTTGGGCTCATTTGGTGGAGTTCTAGTCATGGCAGGTGGTGGTTTTAAACTTGGTTCAATTGAAATGGTGTTTGGTAGGACAATGGATGTGTCTGATGAAGAGTGAGGGTAGGGAAAAATATGCTAGCCAAAGGTCACGTCTCGAGAAACAAATATTTTTCCAATTTGGAGATCATAAAGACGATGCCATTTTTTCCTATAAAGGTATCCAAGGAATATGCATTGGGAGGCACATGCATCAAATTTGGTGAGTCGTTTATCATCTGTGGAGCTTATGGTGGATGGTGAACGGGTATGTTTAGCTAAAGGGCAAACTGAACAATCATTAATTTCAGAAAACTGAATGTCTTTTACATATGCTTGCATTAATCGGAAATGTTTATCGGAAAGGTGCCCAAGGCGTTCATGCCAAAGGTAGGAAATAGCGGACTTGCTGACAAAATTGCAGATAGCCTCCACAGTAACAATGTTGAGATAGTAGAGTCATCCCCTTTCAGTTCTCGTCCCAATCATCATCCCCAAGCATTGGTCCTGTAACACAAATAGGTTTTTAGCAAAAAAGGCAATGTAGTCCGAGTGTTGGACAAGTTTAGCGACGGATATTAGATTCAATTGGAATGAAGGAACACATAAGACATTACGAATGGTCAAATTGGGAGAGAATTTGACACTCCCTACGTGTGTAACAGTAGCACTCATGCCATTTGGTAATTGTATGGTTCGATTTTGTATTAATGAGCACGTAATAAGTAGGGCAGGAGAGTACACTATATGATCAGTTGCTCCTGTGTCCAAGATCCAAGCTACGTCTTTCCAAAGAGCGAAGCCACGAAAAGATTTACCTGAGAGACTACTGGTGGTGGAAGAAGCACCAACGAGGTTGGCCATGGACGTTGATTTGTTGTTACCAAGTAGAGTCAGGAGATGTTGGTACTGCTCGGCTGTCAAGCTAATGGGGCTGGAACGAGTCTGCACATCTTCCTTGGTGTTGACATGGTTTTCTTTGGAGTTCCGTTGGTCCTGAATCTCACCTCTTTCTTTTGCTTTCTTGAGATTCTGGCAGTATTTGGCGGTATGCCCCTTGTTCCCATAAAATTCACACTTTAGATGGGAACGACAAGAATCTGAAGTATGACCAATCATATCACATTGATCACACTTTATGTGGGGTTCTGTGGCATGAAATTTCTGCTTGAATTTCCTTTGTTGCTTTTTACTGAAAAAGCAATAGCATCAACTGTGTTGTTTGATGTAGAGGACACTGTCTGTTGTTTTTCTTCCTGTAATATGAGTGAGTGTGCTTTGCTAACTGAGGGAAGTGGATCCATGAGGAGGATCTGGCCACAAATGGATGTGTATGCATCATTCAGCCCCACAAGAAACTTCATAGTCTTCTGATTCTCTCGGAACTGGAAGGTCTCCTTCATATGGCATCGCGTTCATCCCTTAAACCTTTGAGTTTAGTGTAGTATGCGCTGATCATCATACCACTTTGCACACAATCATGGACAACTTGTTCTACATGAAAAAGATGGACGCTATTGACGCGAGAGAAGCGTTCTTTGAGTTCAGCCTATATTCCTGAAGCCAAATCATTGTAGATTACTCTAGCTCTAATGTCTTATGAGATTGAGTTCAATAACCATGCTTTGACACGGTTATTGCAGACGGTCCACTGTTGTAACTCAGTTTTGGAGGATTCTGAAGGTTTTGGGATTGAGCCATCAGCAAACCCTTCCTTGTTTTTGGTGTTGAGAGCCAGGGTCATGGAACGACTCCATGTTCCATAGTTTTCTTCATTCAGTCGCTGGGAGACGAAAACTGAACCATGCTAATCTGAATGGTATATGTATAGAGGGTCATTGGGATCGTCATATTTGGTTGCCTCAAGCTTGGTCGAGGGCTCTCTTGGTTCTTCTGCCATAGGTGATGGCTTGTTTTGGGATTGGCTAGTGTTTTTGGTTTGAGGAGCGGAAGTTTGTGATGGTTACCAGAATCTTTTCTGCTCTGGTGCCATGTAGAGAAAGGTGAAATTTGTATTGTATTCAACATTAAACTGTTACAAGGATTTTATACACTGGAGGGATTTATTCCCGATCCTGGAATTGAGCCTATACAAGTAATTACATTCCTACATTTAAGAGATTACACAAAGGTTAAGGGATCATATAAAAGTCGGCATATCTCAATCCCTGATTATATTTTAATCATCATTTCTTTCCTTAACAAAGGAAATGAACTTATGATTCCATATGTCCTTCTTCTATGAATTGGGTGGTGGGATTGAACTATAAGGATGTGATTTTTTTCACAGCCTTCTCATTTCCTCCTCTTTTCCTTTTCATTTCTTTGCAAATGACTAAGTCCTCATTTTGTGCTGGATAATGAAATGGAAAAACAGTAGCTTTAGGTAAATTTTTTAACAGTGCTGATCATTTAATGGCATCGTTTACCTCGCAAAGCTTTAGCAAGAAACTTGTTGTCTATTCTTCCTTGTTAATACTAGCTTTATTATCCATCTCGTTTGCTAACATCAGAGGGTATCGATTCAACCGCGGAAATAGCTTCTAGTTTAGAACTTCGGTTACTCATTGTTCAATTGTTAAGCTTTTGTATTCCCGTAATGTGTTTCATGGTTTTCTAGACGATCAATCAATTATCATTAGGAAATTCATCACATTGGGATTGGGGTGGTAGGCAGACGAACTGTCAAGGACCCCTGCTTCTTCTATGAAACATTGTGCCGGTTTTTGGGTGATATGTGAATTTGGAGGTGGGTTTGAAGGTGAGACTGTAAGGCAGGTGATGTGTTTTGCGTTGCATGATGGGTGAGTGTATCATGTATGTGACTTTGTCACAGCCTCCTATTTCCTAGTTCCTTCTTTTTTCTTTCTTTCTTTGCAAGTCACCAGTAGTCATTATTATGTATAATTTCTTCGGCCTGGCCCACCGCCTACTGCATCATGTAATTTCTTAGCAGGCCGGGCATCGTTGACTTTGCAAAGCATTACCAATAAACTTCCAATTCTTCAAAACTCTAGTCATCCGTCCGCAGAAGAAAATGAAACTGCCGGTGTAGAAGCGCTGCTGATCTGCTTGCACAAGACATCCGACAGCGGACTGCTGGACAAATCGATCAATCTACTGAGTTGGTGCAGTCTTAACTTATCATACGTTGAAACAATGCCATCAAAACTTGTGAAACTGTAAGTTATCAGCTTATTTCAGATTCAATTCCTCTATTTTCTTTTAAGGTCTACGAGGTGCTTTCAACCGTTGTATAAAGTTTAACCCAATCAAAATTTTCATGTGCTGAACCCGAAAGTAATCTTTTTTTGAGAGCATTAATCGTTGCATGAGAGATCTTCCAAAAGCATATAGTACCACATATGGGGAAAAAATCAATCTCTCATTCGTTCTTGTTGTTTAGCCAAGTTTACGAGCATAAGTTTTAGCCATGGGCTAAACATGGTACCAAAGCAGGTGTACCGCACTAGAGAATTAGAAGATTATTTACATTTCAACATTTTATTTTCGTTGTTGGCAATGGCAAGTAACAAATATATGCAGTTTCATTAATACTTCTTGTGTTACAAACGTGTGTATATATATTTGTGCCAGGTTCTCAAGGCTGCCATTTTTTAGAAGGAAGGAAAGATATATCGAGTCGTCATACTACAAGAATCTAAAAAAGTTATTAGAGGATCTCTTTGCTTCTGGTGATGGCGAATCACATCCTATTCATTGTTACTCTGCTGATGACCTCATCAGGGCAACTAACAACTTCCATCCTTCTCGCATTGTAGAAAGGTATTCATGCTACGAAATTTTCAGGGGATTTCTAGATGGCCGATCAATTATCGTTAAAAAGTACCCCCTTGGGAACGGTCCAAATGAGGATAGGAGCAGGTCTAGGGTTATTCGTGACATTGTCATTTCATTACAGATGAGCAACCATGAGAATGTTTTGAAACTCTTGGGCTGCTGCTTAGAGTTCCCTATACCAGTGCTAGTGCATGAATACGTAGCAAAAGGAGTTCTCAACCCTGATGCAAGTTTAAGAGGGGCTAATGAAGATCAAATCATACTACCATGGAACATTAGATTGTGTATTGCAAAGCAGGTTGCCAGTGCAGTTTCATATCTCCATACCGCTTTTGCCGGACCCATCATTCATAGGGATCTGAAACCCAGCTGCCTGTTCTTGGATGATGACTATGTTCCCAAACTTCACAACTTCTCGCTCTCTATAACCATTCCTCCTATGGAATCGGATGTTGAAGATGATGTGACTGGGACAATTGGGTACATTGACCCTGTCTACCTGTGGTCTAATCGCATTACAGAAAAACTGATGTTTATAGCTTTGGTGTGCTTTTACTTGTATTCCTGACGGGACGAACACCTTGGGAAATTTGGCGGGTGGAAGGAATTCCAATGATTCCATATGCTCGTGGTTGTGATGGTCGAATTGGGGAAATTGTTGATCCGAAAATCTATGAGGAAGTGAGGGGGAATGAGCAAGTACAACAGCAGTTGCATGATTTCCTTGAACTGGCATTGTTATGCATTCGAGATGACATTGAAGGAAGGCCATACATGGTGGATGTGGCTAGAGAACTCATTCGAATTGAAGAATTTGTTTTGGCCAGCTAGCTTTAATCCACTACATTTGTTATCAAAAGTATTGGAGGCCGGTTTAACGGCAATTCTAATGTTTGTAATCTGATCGTCCTCATTCTGTAATTGAGGATTTGTAGCTGATAGTAGAACTTTGTATATCAATAAACTTCTTCTCATGCTGTAAACGTCTGCTTGTACATAAAACCTGCACCGGACTGGGTGGAGATACTTTGTGCAATCCGAATCACCAATTCTGAGCAGCCTAGATTCTGCACAGGAGGAAAGTGAAAACAATGGCATCCAAAATCTTGTAAGTTCTGGTTTTCTAGTTTGTTTTAAATTTTAACAGTTGTACACCGCAGAAAACTTTGTATCCTTCTCCCATCTTGTAATTATTTTGAAAATATAATAAAACTCTCAATGACCTCTGCTTCTTCTTCAATGAAAGTTACATTGTGTCGGGTTCTTTGTGTATCATGTCTGTGGCTTTGTCACAGCCTTGACTAATTTTCTCTGATAATCAAAACGGAGGACAGAGAGAGCTCAGTCTTGCATAATGGAAGCATATAATTAGAGGATCTCATTGCTTCTTGTGCATGAATATACAGAAAAAGGATTTCTCAACTGAAGTAGGACAACTCGTCTGAATAAAGATAAAGAAAATAAAATATTTCAAATTCTGGAAAGTAAGAATTATAGTTGGAAATATTGGATTCAATTGGTATGGCGACAAAAAAGGTAACAAGAAATTTTTTGATGTCAGAATTGGACGTGTAATATGTCGTTTTTGAAGAGAATCCCGAGCAGACTCATGATATACCATGAGCCCGTCAAGATTAAGGCCGAAAACTATGGTTTCCGCCGACATATCTCCATATTGCCCTTACCTAAGCCCATAACTCGTTGAGATTTTTTGACGTTGCAACTTTCTTTATTGCCATGGAGAAGTAAATTCTGCATTACAAAGCAGCTTGTGAATGCATTGACATATCTCCATACTGCCTTTCCGAAGCCCATAATTCGTTGAGATCTAACACATTTTCTTGGACCATGACTTAGTTCGTAATACTTAGTAACCTCTCTTTCTCTACAACAGTTCCTTTTGACAAGGTCAATTTTAAAGCCCTCTCTTTTTTACATTTGAACTAAATCTAATTCCAATCGTATGAGGCCTTTGGGGCTGCACAACCATCACTTGAGATAAAACAACGCCATCAAAACATTTGCAGTTGTAAGTTGTTTTCATTCTCATATGTAGCTTTAAATTTAAATCTCAAATCGGATTTTAATCCGTTAGCCATTTTTGTACCAGGTTCTCACGTGCTTTAGAAAGCAGGAAAGAAATATTGAGTTACCATTCTACAAGAATTTAAGCCAATTATTAGAGGATCTTATGCTTCTTATGATGGACAATCTCATCCTATTCATTGTTACTCTGCTGATGACCTCATCAGGGGCAACCTTCCATCCTTCTCGCATTATAAAAGAGGTTCATGAATGTAAATTTCTATTACCATGGCATACTAAATAGCGTGAGGATGTGAAGGTAAAAGAGTCTTACATCAGTGAAAGGAGATACCTTGCAATGGCTAATAGGTTGGCCTACTCCTCATATAACCAATTGGTTTTATGGTGGAACGTTAACTTTCTTCATGATATTAGAGCAGGATGACCCAAATGTAAAGCCTAATGATCACATGTGCCCCCACATCATCCAATTTGTGTTCTCCACGTATTTTGTTTGAAAATTCACCTCACATGAAAGTGCATGTGAGGATGTGAAGGTTAAAGAGTCACATCGGTAAAAGAATAAACTTTGCAAAGGCTCCCAGTAACTTCCACTACTTCCATTGATTTTCCAGTTAAAGTTCTCACGTGCCTTATACCCTATGGGTCACTACCCTCATGTCCTAGCTTTTTTGACCTCACCTGTCCAATAGGGTCAAAATATGTCTTTTGTGTGTCTTAGGTAAAGTTGATGTTAGCAGAGCTTCCAAAATTCTTTGAGTGGAATCATTCGAAAAGAAGTTTTTACAGCACCCTTGCTCGTTTAACATTGCATTCGGGCACCATTTAACCCTTGCACGTTAAACACTGCATCCAACTTTGAGTAGTCTGTTTGAATGGTTGCTTAATCAAAAAGCCACCTTTATCTTTTATATACAGGGAAACTCGTCTGCAGAAAATAACTAGCCAAGAACGTTATTTTCTTTCCTCTTTCATTCTCTACAAAGTTATCTTGTCTAGTTTTAAGTGTTTGTTAGTGCAAAATGTTGACAAACATCAGACTCAGTTTGGAATTCATTGTATCCACAAGACTTGTTTACACTATATTTCTCACATGAACGTTTCCACGTAATAGAAGACACTAGCAATTGAGCCCCCGCACGATGCTGCAGGTTTTAAGACCGTTTAAGGTAATATTATTTTACATATAAAATGTTTACGCTACGAGAGATTTTAAAGTGTTATTTACAATCTGACCAAGAACGATAAAGTATTATTTACAACCAGCTCAAACCACACTGACAGTTTGCTCTTTGAGCAAGTTTTCGACAAACCTGAATAATAAAATGGACAAATCAATAGGTTGTAGGAGATGAATGAAATTTCAAATTGATTTACCGTGAATGGATTAATGAAGAATCGATAATAATGCTAAACATGGTAGTTATACAGATTAGGAAGCCATCCATCTATAAGCCAGCCCTCAAAAATTCAGCTTCCACTATTTTTCTAGTGTCCGATAAAGAAAGCGAAGTTCCTGTAAGTACTTCCTAACCATATGAGCAATAGTCTTTTAAAAGGAATCCCAATTTTCCCAACATAAAAGAAAACCATAAAAGCATTACTAATGACTATATCTGCAAAACCAAATCTCCTTGTTTGTACCCGCTAAAGTACACATATGGATATCACAACGAAAACCTCAAATTATCATAGCATTCCCTTTCTATCTTAATTTTTGAAAAAGGGAAACACAATGAAAGAAAACAAAAATCAACAATTTTATCTTGAAAATTATGGGAGGAGGGAAAAGGGGTGCAAATCACTGGTGCTCAATACAAATCACTGCCTAGTCATCAACTTTTGTAAGCAAAGATTAGAAAAGTTTAGCATCTAGCATGATAGTTTAAGTTACTTGAGATTTTTCAATGTTCACAATCATTATGCTGCTATATAAACTTATGTATTCTTCGAGAGAATATAAGTGGTGTGTACTTATACATAACACCACATATTAGCCTTAAAATCAATATGCATAACTTAATTAACTTGCACAACACTCATTTTACTGCTTACTCGCCAACTTAAATATTGGCTCTTAAGATAAGAGATGTAATGGTGACTTCTTAGCCTTATACGACGCACGGTACCATAAATCTCAGAACTTCCAAACTCTTTGAATGCCCAAATTCAGTTATATAATCAACAAAACCCCCTGCAAAATGTTTTATACAATAGTTTTTGACACTGCTAACAAAATGCACATGTTTATACAGGGAGTTAAAAAAAATGTAAATCTTGGTATTCTTCCCTAAACCGTAGAAGCCCGCTAGACCTAAACTCTTTTCAAACTACCCCGATTTAATAATGATCTACTATAGGTTCTTTTGTCTGGATAGCAATTGAATGCAATCTGAGCGTGAAGGTTACCTGATGCATTGGTTTAATAGTCATCTACTGCTTTTTGAGATGGAAATGGACTAATTCTTGTCTTGAGCTTAATGATATCAAATTCAGCTTGGTCCCCAATGTACTGCAAAAGCCAATTGAAAGTAAAAGATATATTTGCAACTAAACAATAGTTTAATTAGTCATAAGATTTGATCAGCTCTGCATCACAGTGGTGGGAGCAGCATATAAACTTAGGTCCCTAAATATTTTCAGCAAACTAAATGACAATATTCTAAAAATGAAAACTACATTTTGGTTCTTAAGAAATATTCTAAGCTAGGAAAGACCTGGAATTGAAATAAAGAAGTGTTGTCAGAAACAACGATTCCAGTTTGTTTTCGGCCTATGATTACTCACTCCCAAATTATCAGTTTCTCAATACCATTTTCTCAAAAACTTGTATACGACTATCCAATTCATGCTACAAAGAGTCCTACTTCCTAGCTTTAAAGATCATAGCAAGAAGGGAACAACTCCAGGTTTGAGTCCCCTTGAGGTTTAGATTAGAAACTAATTTCATTAGCAAGTAAATGCTTCTGTGACTTGTTCTTGAATAATTCATAAAGTAAATTCTTTAAACAATGGATTTTTCCAATTTAATATTTGAGAAAATAAACATACTTATGGAGCTTCTCGAACTGAATCCTCAGGCTTTTGGAGGCTACTCTGCAGAAAAAGCAGCAAAATTAATAATTTCAGATTGAATTCACAAATTGAAAAAAAAACAAAAAAAACAAAATTGCAGAGGGAGTGAAAATATGAAATCACTCCCAAGTAAGGTCTAAGAGATTGGATTATGATTTAGGAATTGAGGATTAAGGAATCTCGCCAGAAACTGGATTTTTCAAAGAAATTTTCCATAAACGTATTAGCTTTTGCAGGAAAAACTGGACAACAACTTACCTCCAATTCACCTTAAACCGTAACGAATCGAGGCATGCAACGGATGATTTTGGTTTCTGAGACAAAGGTTAACCGACTGGTAGTAACAGCAAGGTCCGATCGCTAGCGTTCGGCTGGAAGCAGCTCGTTGGACTTCAGGCACCAACTTAATAATCGAAAACGGCACAGAATTTCTAGAAATAGATTTGAGAGTTGGATTGAATGTGAGAGAGGGTTTGTTTTGAGTTCGTTTGTAGTCACCGGAAATGACGAACTCGTGCCGGCCACAGTGGTGAGTCGTGGAGTGAACTGCGAGAGGTAAGGGCGAGAAGGGAGAAAAAGAAAAGGAAAAAAATAAAGTGTTTTTGGAATTTTGAGTGAATCGGTGGTGTGGCTAGTTGCGAGACAGAGATAGAGAAGTCAATGGAAAATGAGGGGCTGTTTTCATCCCTTCTGGTGGAAGATAAGAATGGGCAAAATACATATCCATCCATTTAAAATTCAAAGTTATGGTTATGAATAACTATTTAGACAAATTAATAGGCGGTTATGAGTATTATCTGCGGTTATAACGGATATCCATTTACTCGTTTATTCTAATATATGTAAAATTAAAAAAAAAATTAAAAATCCTAAATTGTTCAATCTCAGTGTTTTGTGAGAGAAAACAAGTGCTTATCATAGTAGGTGCTTCTTTTTGCCCGCATGTTCCATTTTCAAAAGTGCTCGAGAGTGCAGAGGGAGCAAGTAGTAGAGTATGGAAGCAAGGAACCAGTTCAGACCCATTCCAAAATTATGACAAATGTCACTTTTTTTTAATTTTTAAGTTGTTATAACAAATATGTAGACAGTTGAAAAAATAGGTAAATGGATAAGAAAATGGATAAATGGGTAAAAAAACAGGTATATAGTTACGGTTAAATGGGTACGCGGTTATGGATATGGTTAATCATTTATAAACGGTTATGGGTATGAATATAACCGTTTAGACAATTACCCAACAAGTAAACGATTATACGGATATGAGCATAAACGGTTATGGGTAAATAATTACGGTTACCCACCCGCTATAACCGTTGCCAATCCTTAGTAGAAGAAGATTAAGTAGAAGAGGAAAAAGAAGAGGAAGGAAGCACCGATGACCAACACGTGTAAAATATGGCATAAATAAAATTAAAGAAATCAAGCAAGGCAAAATCAGTATCACACTGCTCTATAAACAGTGTTTCAGTTGTTTTTCTCTTTTAGTAAACATATAATTTCCCTCTTGATTGTGTCCACATATCAAACCTAGGCTTGGCAAATGGGTCGTGTTTGTGTCGTTTTTGTGTAGCACATGTTATCTTAAGGGGTTGTGTCGTGTCACACCCGTTATCTTAAGGGGTTGTGTCGTGTCACACTCATTATCTTAACGGATTCTTAATAGGTCAGGTCAGGATAAAATGACCCGACCGGTTATGAGAGTATTTATCAATCATAGCAAAATTAACAGCTAATTTCATAAATGTCATTTTTATAACATCTTTCAAATATAGTAGAAACATCACTTAAATAGATCTAAATACCCTTAAAATTAAAACCAAATAATAAAACCCTGTTAGATCAGAATTTAGGAAAAATGAGAGACCACTGCATCTTGTGATGTCATAGATTTCCTAGTCAATACCAATGAAATCAAGGATCTTTGTATAAATAAAATCTTGAAGGTGACTGACAATTTCAATCAAGCAAGCATCATTGTGTGGAGGTTTTTGGTCTGGTTTACAGAGCAACTTTGGCGAATGGGTCTAGACTAGTTGTTAAGAAACTATCAGGAGACTTAGGTTTGGTGGAAAGGGAATTCAAAGCAGAAGTTGAGGAACTATCCACTGCACAACACAAGAATCTGGTTTCCCTGCAAGGTTATTGTTTACCTGATGGCGTTCGCCTGTTAATGTATTCGTATATGGAGAATAGAAGTCTAGATTACTGGTTACATGAGAAAGCAGATGGTCCTTCCCAATTAGATTGGTCAATTCGATTGAATATTTTGTGAGGAGCAGGCTGTGTGTTAATAAATACTAGATGGGTTAATTTTGCACCAAAGATGTAGGGACATCCCAGCAGCACTAAGATAAAGACTAGTAAATTTTTGTTTTACCCTTGAAGCTTGTCAAGAAATTTTGTGTAAATCTTTTTTTTTTTTTTTTTTGGTCAAAGGTAATTTTTATTACCAATAGAACAAATTTATACAAAACGTGGTCCAAATACAAGTGAAGCACAAAAAATAATGATGGACCTCCCACACAGCTAGGCCTGGCAAACGGGTCGTGTTTATCGTGTTCTTGTCATTTTCGTGTAACACCTGTTATCTTAACGGGTCGTGTCGTGTCACACCCATTATCTTAACGGGTCCTTAACAGGTCGGGTCACTTTATACAACGGGTAAAGTGACCCGACCCATTATGACCCGTTAAGAAAAAAAAAAATTTCTTAAATTTGCACATACCACACATTGCCACATAAATATTACTTCAAAACATTAAAACACATTTGTCGTTTAAGTACTACATCTACACTCGAAAATAATATGTGCAAGGATATGCAAAATGAAAAAGTTTTTGTTTTCAAGGTTGTGTAGTCTTTCTTAAAAGTTTAAACCTCAATTTACAAAATCCTCGATTTACATCGATCATCATGAAATTGTATTGGAACTTTGGCTTGATCTCAACCGATCCAATGGTCATCAATTTTTTAAATTTAATTATATATATATAATTACTATAGTTTTTAGGGGTATAAAATTGTTAAATTAATATATATAATTATTATAGTTTATTCATACTTTTATTAAGTATAACATAAGATTTTGTGATATCCACTAGTGTAAATATTTTAAATTGAAGATCGAATTCAATTCATTGTATTCATATAGGGTCAGGAGTGTAGGTATAAAAATCATCAAAATCAGAGTTAAAATAACTGTTAAATCGTAATTTTTCGTTTTATAACCGTCGAAAAGTTTTGTCCCATTACTTGATCTTTGAATGTTTTTTTTTTTTTTCAATTTTTGGTGTATGCGATCTCGAAGTATATACAAACATGTTCGACGGTTGGATCATTGAAACTAGTTTCGTAGTAGAATGCGAGTATCCCATCAAAACAATAGATTCACTAATACTTAAAAGTTTATTCATACTTTTCATTAAGTATAACATAAGAATTTTTTGGTATCCACTAGTGTAAATATTTTAAATTGAAGATCGAATTCAATCATTGTATTCATATAGGGTCAAGGAGTGTGGTTGCAAAAAAATCATCAAAATTGGAGTTAAAATGACCGTTAAATCGTGATTTTTCTTTTTATAACCATCAAAAAGTTTTGTCATGTTCCTTGATTTCTGAATGTTTTTTTTTTTTCAATTTTTGGCGTATGCGATCTCGAAGTATATACAAACATGTTTGAAAGTTGGATCATTGAAACTAGTTTCGTAGAATGAGTATCCCATCAAAACAATAGATTCACTAATACTTAAGAGTTTCTTCATACTTTCATTAAGTATAACACAAGATTTTGTGGTATCCACTAGTGTAAATATTTTAAATTGAAGATCGAATTCATTCATTGTATTCATATAGGGTCAAGGAGTGTAGCTGTAAAAAATCATCAAAATCGGAGTTAAAATAACCGTTAAATTGTGATTTTTCGTTTATAATCGTCGAAAATTTTTGTCCCGTTACTTTATCTCTAAATGTTTATTTTTTTCAATTTTTAGCGTATGCGATCACGAAGTATATACAAACATGTTTGATGGTTGGATCATTGAAACTAGTTTCGTAGAATGAGTATCCATCAAAACAATAGATTCACTAATACTTAAGATTTTATTCATACTTTCATTAAGTATAACATAAGATTTTGTGGTATCCACTAGTGTAAATATTTTAAATTGAAGATTGAATTCATTCATTGTATTCATATAGGATAAAGGAGTGTAGCTATAAAAAATAATCAAAATTGGAGTTAAAATAACCGTTAAATCGTGATTTTTCGTTTTATAACCATCGAAAAGTTTTGGTCGGTTTCTTAATCTATGAATGTTTTTTTTTTTTTTTTGCGATTTTTTGCTGATACGATCTTGAAGCATATACAAACAAGTTTAACGTATGGATCGTTGAAATTAGTTTTGTATAATTCGTATCCCATCAAGTTCAATGGTATATATATATATATATATATATATATATATATATATTTCTATTTATATTTATATTTATTAAGTAGATTTAAATCTCTTTTTTGTACGTATAATTGACCGGTACACGGAGTAGTACATCACGTGTCATTATAATATATATATATATATATTTATATTTATATTTATTAAGTAGATTTAAATCTCTTTTTTGTACGTATAATTGACCGGTACACGGAGTAGTACATCACGTGTCATTATAATATATATATATATATATATTTATATTTATATTTATTAAGTAGATTTAAATCTCTTTTTTGTACGTATAATTGACCGGTACACAGAGTAGTACATCACGTGTCATTATAAAAATAGCGAGATATGTCATATGTGTGATAAAAAGTTAATAACTTAAAAAAAATAAAATTTCTCACCACTTTTATTAATTTTCATTTTTCCCTCTCTTTTTTGTTTCCTTTTAAGCTTTTCTTATAATTTTCATTTTTTCCTCCTTTCTTTTTCTTCAAAGGGTAGCAGCCTACCCATCTTTCCCTCTCTTTTTTTGTTTCCTTTTCAGCTTTTCTTATAATTTTCATTTTTTCACCCTTTGAGCTTTTCTTATAATTTTCATTTTTTCTCCTTTTTTCTTCAAAGGGTGTGGCAAGAATGGAATGGAATTATGGAATCAATGGATGCATATTAATTAATAATTATTATAGTTTTTATAAAATTGAATATATATATATATATATATATATAATTATTTTAGTTAATATTTTGGGGGTATAATTATTATAGTATATATAATCATTATAATTATTATAGTTAATATATATATATATATATATATATATATATATATTATAGTTTTAGGGGTATAAAATTGTTAAATTAATATATATATATATATAATTATTATAGTAATTTTTTAGGGTTATAAAATTATAAAATTAATTTCGTGTATCGTGTTATCCACGTGTATACCCAAATCAACCCGTTATCTTAATAGGTACTTATCGGTTACTCCATAACGATCCGATTCGTTATCGTGTTAACCCAAACACCTGTTAATTTCGTGTCATGTCGTGTCGGGTTGTATCAGGAATTGCCATGCCTACACACAACAAAGAAAGCCCAACCCAAAACAAGAGTTAGAGCCCAAAACAACAAAATAAAAAACAAAAACCTAGCAGCCTACTACCCTAGTCGCCGTCGGAGCATCTTGAACCAAGCAACCTCCAACCCGGCACCGGCCAACACCTTCAGAAGACGCCGGAGATCAAGCCACTCCAAGCCGCAAAATCGGAAAATAAGCAAACTTCAACATCCATAAGCAACCACAACAAAGATTGAAACCACCAAACAAAGGAAGCCAGTGGAAAAGTACATACCACAGGCAACGGAGCCGAGAACGGCAAACACAAGGAAGGTGGTGGTGTGGTCACCTGAGCTGGAGCTCTACACACCCTCCAATAAAGTCGCAAAATGCTACGGAAAGAGGTGGTTGCAGATCGGGATAGTTGTAGAACTGAGGGATGAGAACTGGGAATTTCCGAGCTTGGGCTAGGAGTGGTTAAATCAAAGGCAAGGAGATTTGGGGAACGAAGAAAATTGGGCTGGAAAACATGGGGAAAAGCAGGCAGACAAAGACAGAAGGAAAGGAAAACAAGAAAGAAAATTGCCCAGGCAAGGGCCGGCAGCTAAACTACTTGACGAAATTTGAAAGCTCACACAAGCAGCGAGAAAAACTCTCACGAAACGGAGAGAGAGGCTTTCACAGGAGAGAAAACACTAGTTTTGGCATTACAATTTGACACTTGGTATTTTTTGTGTAAATCTTTGAGGCTCAGCATTGCCAACTCTTTTGTTACAGAAAACATGATTTTTTGCATGAAAGCAATCTTCAAATTTTAGCTTTCGCTCCTTCTCTGAACTGAAATCACGCAAAAGAATTTGCTCATGATATTCGTACATCAGATTGATTGCAATGGATTTCATAAAGTCAAATGAAATTCAGATGCTAATGAGAATTCTAAATCCAAAGATGTAGATGAGATCTATTCAAGTGTTTGACTTTTCTATGTAAATGGGTTTTGGATTTTGAGAGCATTTAGGACTATTCAAGTGAGTTTGTTTGCTAAATTTGAAAGTTTTTGTAAAAAGTGATATTTATGAAATTGGATGTTAAACTTTGGCTATTAATGATAGTTCTCCTATTATGTTAAGAAATTTTTTTTTTTAATAAATTTACATAACACATTGCCACATAAATATTACTTCAAAACACATTTGTCATTAGTAAAAAGGCATCAATACATTACTACAAAATATCAAATATGCAAGGATATACAAAATGAAGAAGAGTTTGATTTATGGCTGAGAAAAACATTGGACGGCCGAGATTAAAATCTCAGCCAATCCAACAATCATTAATTTTCTAAATTTAATTTATATATATATAATATATTTATTTATTTATATTTTAACTTTCAGTTCGGTTCGAGATTAAATCCTACTACTGTTAATTATAGTTTTTTTTTTCCAGTGGTATACAATTAAATTAATATATTCTTCTTATGGTGTAACGGGTTACTCATGTGTATATTTGGACTGACCCGTTATCTTAACATGTATTTATCAAATTAACCGATAACTATTTGATTGGTTGTCGTATCAATAAAAAAATCTGTTATCTTCGTATCATTTCGTGTCAAATTAACAACTAGTGTCAAAAATGGTTAGGCCTAATCAAACCTCTCGCTTAAGATGGTCAAAGTGACTACAAAAGGTGTAATAGTTTCAAGAAAAGAAAGCAGCGGCACAAGGCCCAACAACCTTCTCCATTTCTTCCAAACCTTCACAAAAATTAAGTCACCTCATGAATAGACCTGCAGTTTCTGACATGATACAGTGATACGACATCAAAATGACACGAAAATAACGGATTTTAGGTTAAGATGATAACTAATCGGATCATTATCGGGTGACCCATTATGAACCCGTTAATAACGGGTTCTTAACAAGTATACACGCGGGTAACACATGGGTAACCTGTTTCGACCTGTTAAGAAAAAAATTATTTTGATAATTTTAAAGTTTAATTACTGAAATATTTATAATAAAATACAATAACCATATTAATATATACAATATATTCTATATTAAATATATAGTTTTGTATTATATTCTATATAAGTTAAAAAAAAGTTTTAGTCATTATTTATTTTTATTATGAGAGTTCCTTATTATCATTACTAGAATAAATTTTACTTAACATGTTGTTGTCCAAAATTAAAATAAACTAGTATAGTATTTGTATAGGCAAGAATTAAGAAGACATACATACAAGTATGAAAAATATGAAAGAAAATATAAACACTCGTGATTAATCGTTATTCCTCCACGAGTAGATAATGGTTACACTTACATTATTGTTTAGGTTTTTTAAATCCTCCAAACCCTCATGAATAATGTTTTTTATTTGAGGGCAAAATTAATAAAATTAATAATAATTATTGTAGAAGTGTAAAAAATGTAAAAAAAAAAATATACAGTCACTCATAGTGACAAGCTTTGCAACTTTCATGAGGGGGTCAACCTCGAAATCCAACACTATAATCCATAAACTTTAAATTTATATTTAACCGTCAATTATTATTTACGCTTTATTCTTCTTACTAAATTTCATTTTTAAAATTTTCTTTTTTGAAAACATCATTATCTGGAGGATGTAAGAAGATGAACGGTTCAGATCTTTGATATCACGTTTCGATATTTATGATTAAATGAAATATGAGTTGATGTCATATAGTTTGTAGAAACTTTATAAACATCAAGCAATATTTTCACTAACCGAAAACTTTGAATATAATATCAACGATCCAAACCGTTCATCTTCCTGCATCCTTTAATAGATCATGTTTTCAAAAAAAAAAATTTGAAAAAAAATTAAATTTGATGAGAACAATAAAGCGTAAATGTAAACAACAATCAACGGTTAAATTTTGATATATGATTTATATGATTATAGTGGCGAATTTTGAAGTTAAGCTCTTCATGAAAGTTGTAAAGTTTGTCATTACGAGCGTTTATATATATTTTTTACACTTCTACATTAATTAAAAAACTATTAAAGACTTTACTTAAATACGTTTTTATTTTTTGGATGTAACAATATGGTATGTATATACTTATTTAGTATTATGTTTTCATTTGATTATTTATTGGTTTAAAATATATTTTTCTTAACGGGTAATGGGTCGGGTCATATTACCTGTTAATATTATCGGGTCGATTTCAGGTTGGGTCATTTTACCCGTTTATTTTAACGGATGTTACACGACACGACCCGTTAAGATATCGGATATGACACGATAATGACTCGAATAAGAAAAACACGACACAAATGCCAGGTCTACCCATGTATACATTGTAAAATCCTCCGTACATAACCAAATACAAAGTAAATGTAGCCCCATTTTGAGTGAACCAATATAAATGTTTGAATGGGTAGTACCAAGCTAGATCACTCTCGGACTTTGACTTGCTCAAAGCCCTAGTTGACTTTCTAACAACACGTAACAAGGTTTATTTGCATGGACAAGGATTGTCTGCCCTCCCACTTCTGGTGTTCTTCCGTGCCCTTCTGTTTTGTGTGGTCATGGTTAAGTCACGTCAACATTTTATATTATTTTTTTATAAAGATAATAAGATAAAAATAAATAGTAATATAAAATGTTGACATGGCTTAACCGTGACCACACAAACAGAAGGGCACCGAAAGTGGGAGGGCAGACAATCCTTGTCCTATTTGCATATACCATTTGCCTACTAATTGTGGAAGCAAAATATCTATAAACAACACTACTCAGTACTACGGTCTGGTAGTATTCCTCTTTACTTAGAAGTGAGAGGTCTTAGGTTAGAATCTCGTGGATAATGAATTCGATACTAAATTAGGCTGTTCATTGTGTGACTTTGTCAAACTTCCTCCCTTTAATGTAAAAATATCGATGTACTTAAAAAAAAAAAAAAAAAAAACCCATTTACGCGTCTTGAAACGCTCTTTCTTCCCTTTATAGTTGAAAACATTTGCTTCATCTTTCTTAATTAACTTCTTTGACTCTTAATAGTAGGGCAAAATGTCCTCTTTCCTAGCTAACTTCTTTGACTTTTTCGTCCAACAGTAATTTTCTATCTCCTTCCTTTTTGTTCCGAAGCCATTCCCACCGCATGTGATTCTAAACAGGGCTGTTTGAACTGCTGCTCTACTTGCACATTCCAATGCCATTGCAGTGGTCTCGGTTGATGAATCGATCAATTACTGTTTAAATGGCATAATCTGAATCCAGTTCTAAGGGGCCTGACTGATAATTTACAGAGAGATTAAAATGTAAACGATGCCATCCAAATTCTTGTAAGTTCGTTGATTCTCTGGTACTTTCCTTAAACATGAGATTTTGCTTTTGATTATTTTCTCTTTATTGCAATATTACGTAAAATATTAATCCAACCTCAGTGATTTTTTACTAATTGAAGACTCAATTAAATTCTTTTACACTCAAAGTAATGAGAACCTTAAATATTTGAGGCAAAGAAAAATTGAAAGCTGAGATTTCATTGAACTTCTAAAGAAAATTGAAAATTTCTTAAGAACCGAGAGCGATTAATTATTTACAATTCCCTATTTTATATTTATCCTTTGTGTTTATGTTTTACCAATTTATACTGTGTAATATGTATATATTTATACCAGGTTCTCCTTGCTTCCATGTGTAAGAATGGTGGAAACTGAAAGCTCATTCTTGAAGAATGGAAGCATCTTGTTAGAGGATGTCATTGCTTTGTGATGGCAAATCAAGTCCTATTCGCACTTACTCCGCTGATGAGCCAGTCAAGGCAACCAACAATTTCGATCCTTCTTTCATTGTAAGTGAGTATTCATCCTTCAAACTGTTCAGAGGTCTTCTAGATGACCGGTCAATAATCATTAACAAGTACTTGCATTGGCCCAGTGAAGTTGAAGCTCCATGGCCATTCGTGATATTATCATATCGGTACGCACAAAAATGCTTTGAAATTGTCGGGCTGGTGCTTAGAGTTAATTGCAACGAAAGTAGCTCGTGCACTTGCATATCTCCATATCGCCTTTCCCAGGCCCATCATTCATAGGGATCTAAAGCCCACGTGCATTTTCTTGGACGATGATTATGATAAAGTTGAGATTTCACCATGAAATCAATTGACAATATAAGGAGTAGCCTAAGATTATATAAGTACATAGCAAACCTTGTCCCTCACCAATGTGGGACAACTCTCGTGTGGCATTTGGGCTTCACACGTGGACAACCTTGCTCTGATATCATGATAAAGTTGAGGTTCCACCATAAAACCAATTGATAATATGGGGAGTAGCCCAATATCATATAAGCATATAGCAGATCTTGTTCCTTACCAATGTGGGACAACTCTCAACAGACTATTCTCCTGAACTCTCCAACTTTTCACCATCCATAACGATTCCTCCTAAGCAATTTCATGTTGAAGATGTAGTGAAAGGGACATATAGGTATGCTGACCCTACCTACATCGTAACTTGTTACAATACAGAAAAAAACTGATGTTTATAGCTTTAGTGTGCTTTTACTTGTATTCTTGATGGGACGAAAAATTGGGGACGTCGATGTGGATAAATCAGCGGCTGTAGAAGACCTCACTTCGTATGTGGATGGTAATATCCTTGGGGAGGTAAGGGCAGATGAGCAAGCACAACAGCAATTGCAAGCTTTCTTAGCCCTGGGATTGTTGTGCACCCAGGACGGAAGGGAATCAAGGCCATGCATGACTGATGTAGCCAAAGAACTTGTACGAATTGAGAAATCTACCTTGCATTGCTAGATTAACTTGTCCAGACTGATTGTCTTAAAAGGGGATATACATTGGTTCAACACAACATTATACGGTTCCCTACTTGTATTTGTTTAGCAGAGAGATTGTGAAACATGTAGCTACCTCATTAACATTCATTTGTATATCTCTTTACTCAACCATTCATTTGTATATTGCTAACAGTGACAAATGATGATCAATCTTTATTACCATGGAAAACTAAACTGTGTATGCAAAGCAACTTGTGAATGCCCTTACGTTTATCTCTATATCATCTTCCTAAGCCCCTCATTCGTAGAGATGTAACACCTAGCCATGCTATCTACACTAATGGAGTGGGGGTGGGTTAAGCCTCACAATCGGCTAGCAATAATTTAGTTCAAATTTACTTTTGGCGAGAATCGAATCTAAAACCTCTCACTTACAATTGAAAAGAAATACCATGAGATTATAATACTAAGTGGCACAATATTGTTATGTTTGATACAAAAAATTATTTTTCTCCATGTGAATCATTATTTTTTGGGAAATTGCCAAAAATGATCGTTTTTCTTAATCTTAGAACTAACATAGATTCGAACATGCGTAACAATATGATAGAAATAGGATTTTTCTAGAACTTACATAATTACCAAATTATCCTCCCATATAAATAGGTTATCCCTTCATTTCTCATATTGTAGAGAGAGAACATATACGAGAAAATGGGTTCTTATGCATGGCCGGTTTTGTGCAGCAGGCTTTATTAGTGATTCGTGCCAGAAATGGGTCCTTACAATTACCAAAGACCAGCAGGCTTTTGATGGTGCAAAAGAATAAACCATCCCTAGAGGTTTCTAATGGGTGCAAAATCAGAAAGGGGTTCTCTCTTCTCTGTCTCTCTCCTATTATTTTTCTTACCGTTTGTCCTATTGATACAATTGGCCATTTTCTGGAATTCAAGCGTCTCGGCAAAGGTCAGAGCTTTCAATTTTTTAATTTTAGATTTTTGTTTTTACTGTGAGAAATTAAGTTTCTTCATCTTGATGCAATATTTGGAGGGAATCTTCGAGCGTGGGAGTTTTGGAGCAAATCTTTGACGAATATGGTGAGTACTTTGCTTCCGTTTTGGCAAATTTGGTTTTGGGAAAAGTTAAAGAACTCGATGTTGGTCACGGTGGCGTCGTCGCCATCGAGGCCGCAAAATAAAGCTATGGATGATACGTGCAACAAATCGGTTTTGTTATGGACATGCATCGTGCAATTGACGAGTCAGTATTTTACAAATCTTCGACCTGAACCTAAATTATGGAAATCCCATTAAAAATCATCTCTTTTCAGTGACATGCACACGACATGCATATGATATGCTCACAGATTTGAGCTAACCCAAAAACCCAGATCTCACAACTCACTCTTCGAAATCAGAAATGGCGTCATCACTTGTGAGTTTTTTACAATTTATATGTGCGTATTTTCGTCATTTCAGTTTTGTGTACGGTGTGCATGGCCAGTTTGCAGGGTCGGTCTTGAGTTTTTTGAGGCCTTAGGCGACACTGAAAAATATGCCCTAACATAACTTCACATAAAATAATTGTTTATCTTAGTATTTGTATATTGTACATCGAATATTAAAGAAAATGACATTTTCACATTATGACCTTTTGTGACAAATGATACGATAGTTAACACTAAACTCATCATAACTACGATGAGGGAACACTCTTAACTAACCGATCTACAAGACACTTGCACATTATGAGACCTTTGAAATGAAATTTTCATATTTAAGATCTCTAATTTCTATATGTAAGCAACAAATGAAAACAAAAAATTGTTACTACCAAAGGTCACATATGGTAATTCATCTATGTTTTATTTTTTGAGCTCTCATGAAAAGTTATGGTTCATTCCAAATATATAAAATCACAAGGGAAAAATTATACAAAAAAGTGTAGGTTGATATTTTTGGATTGTCAATAACAACACTTCGTTCAATAAGAAAAAAGAACAACGAATATGTTGTGGCTTATTTTATCTGACGGGGAGAGAGAGGGCTAGCAGCACAGAGAGAGAATAGAGAGAGAGAGAGGTGTTTGCAGGGTTGTGTAGATGATGTGTTATGCCCTCTACGTAGTGCCTTTTTTTATAGTAATAAGGGAGGGAAGAATCATTCTCCTCCAAGGAATACAAGTCCTAATAGGGAAGAATAACTAGAATCAAATCTAATTTAGGATTTACACAATCACACTTAAATACAAAGTTTATAACACTCCCCCTTAAGTGTGTAAATACTCAAGTAGATTCGGCATCATGTAAAGTTGAGGAAGTCTACTCGTTGACACTGATTATGGGAACACGCTAGTCTCAGAATAAAGTAGGAACTTGCATAAGAAACTAAAGTCTCACAAAAAACCCTATGGCTATGGTAAAAACCCAAGTAGGGGAAAAATCCATAGTCTAAGGAAAAATGCGTGAGAAAATGCATAGTCCAATGAAACGTCTATGTGACGTCATTAGAGATATGATCAACCCAAGATGGGTGCCTCATCAAAACCTCGTTAAATAGCAAAAAACCAGTGGAAAAAATGCTCCTAATCGTAAGGAAGAAAAGTACATTAAGATCAAGTAAGTATACTTTAGGATACTCCCCATGAGTTTGACATAATTCCAAAGAGAACTAACAATGTTACAACTTAGAAAGTTTACGCATACCTATTCCTTGAACAAGCTTCTAAAACGTCACCTTCTGTAGTGATTTGGTGAAGAGATCAGCTAGATTGTTTTGTGAATGATTTTGCGTGACTTCAATCTTCTGATGCTCTTGCTATTGATGTGAGAAGAAAAACTTCGGCACAATGTGCTTGGTATTGTCTCTTATGATGTAACCCTTCCTGAGTTGTTTAATACATGTTATGTGTCTTCATAGATCGTCGTTGGGAAGTCAATGACTGGATAAAGATCACAGGAGCATTGAATATGGCCTACAACTGCTCTCAACCAGAAGCATTCTTGAGTTGCTTCGTGTAAGGCGAGAATTTCAGCATGGTTAGACGAAGTGGCAACTAAGGCCTGTTTAGTTGAACTCTAAGAGATTGTGTTGCCTCTAACGGTAAAGACATAACATGTTTAAGAGCGCACCTTGTGCGGATTAGATAAGGAACTTCAGGCTTCAAAATTTCTTCATCACCCTTATTCGGACGAAAGGGATTTTGTTTTGCACCTAGCGATCGAAGGACTATAGGAATACTCAAAGACTTTGCTTTATCCTCGTTAAAGTGGCGCAACACCTTCTGGTGTAGTTCGATTGATGTACTAAGATTCCATCTGAATGTGCTCTATCTTGAGACTGAGACAATGTCGAGTCTTTCCTAGATCTTTGATCTCAAATTCTGACTTCAGGTGCGAGGCAATTTTCTCGAGCTCTTCAGGAGTTTCGACGAGGTTCATGTAGTTGACATAAACTGCAACAATCGCAAAACCGAAATGTGACTTCTTAATGGACACACAAAGACATAGTTTGTTGTTCACATATCCCTGACTAGTCAAATACTCACTCAAAGGGTTATACCACATTCTTCCGGATTGCTTCAAACTGTATAATGAATGCCTCAGCCGAATTGAGAGCGTGCTTCGGGGTTTTGAAATATTTGATCCAGTCAATGTAAGTCATTCGGGATTTTTTCATATCAAGATCCCGATAGAGATACGCAGTTACTACGTCCATCAACGGCATACTTAGTTTATCATAAACTACCAAACTAATAAGGTAGTGATAAGTAATCACATTCATAAACGTGTGAATAAGTTTTGTCATAGTTAATTTGGAGGCATTGTCAGAAGCCTTGCACTACAAGACGAGCTTTGTAATGCACAATTTCGTTCTTCTTATTACGCTTCCAAACGAAAATACACTTGTAGCCAACGGGCTTCACATGTAGAGGAGTAGGAGCTACAAGGTGAAACACCTTACGTTTCACAAGCAAATCGAGTTCGACTTGGATTACTTGTTTCTAGTTTGACCAATCAGTTCTACGTCGACATTCATCAATGAAACAGGGTTCAATGTCATTGCTCAATATGATCTTAGTAGCTACTGCATATGCTAATACATTGTCGATTATCATCTCATTTATACACTAAACATCATCCAAACTAGTATAAAGGACATAAATCTCGTGATTCTCGGCAGGTGGATTCGTCTCTTCAAGGATGCTTTCGTAATCTAGAATTTCCTTATGAGTTAGATAGAATAAGTAAGCGATAGTCAGATTCATGTTAGGCTCAAAATGAGCATGTTCCGTAGGTTTCCTCTTTTAGGGGTGTGATTCCTTTGAACCAATAGGTCTGCCACGTTTTTGTGTAACGGTAAAGGATTGGTTAGCCGTTAATGTAAGTAGATTGGCCAAGGTGGTGTCCCGAGTTTCTAGGAGGGAAGTCCTTCATACATTTGGTACATCCATCTTTGTCGGCACATTCACAGCTAGAATATGTGATCTTATCACTCGCGCTAAATTGGTGAAAGCATATGGCATGCTCTGAGCTAAATTCTGAAGATCTAATATGCGTTACACTTCAGTTTTAGACTGACTAGTGCGAGGATCTTAATGGGACAAACTGGGAGTCATCCATGATAATTTACGTTGTTCTTCAAGAACGGTGACATTCTTATCTCCCCTTAATGACGGGAAGATTGTCCCATAGAAGTAACAATCCGAGAAACAAGTGGTAAAAAGATCGCCTGTCAAAGGTTCTAAATAACGAATAATTGAAGGAGAATTATATCCCACATAGATTCCCATCCTTCACTGAGGCCCCATTTTTGTACATAAGGACTGCGAAATCAGCACATAGACCGCACAACAAAAAATGTGCAGATACGATATGTCTGGTTCATAGCTGAAAGACGTTATATGGTTGGGTCGCAACAGGCCTCAAGTGAACCAACATGGCTACATGCATTATTGCATGGGCCTAAGCAGCGATCGGGAGCTTGGTATGTATGACCAACAATCGAGCAATCATTTGTAAGTGCTTAATGAATGCCTTTGCCGGGCAGTTGTGCGTATGAACAAGGGGTACTTAATGTTCAATTTAAACCCCAAACGACATGCAATAATCATCAAAAGTTTTAGATGTGAATTATCCAACATTATCCAATCAAATAGATTTGATCGGATAATCAGGGTGGTGAGCCCTGAGCTTGTTAGTCTGAGCCACCAGTGTAAAGAAGGCAGCATTTTTTATAGACAACAAGCACACATGTGACCAACGTGTGGAAGCGTCAACCAATACCATAAAATATCTAAATGGTCCGCAAGGATGGTGAATCAGTCCACTAATGTCCCCCTAAATCCTTTGTAGGAAAATATGAGGATTCGAAGGAATCTTATCGTAAGAAGGCTTAATAATAAGTTTTCCCATAGAACATATTTGACATGCAATTCCTTGAATCGAACATAAACTTTGGTTTAATGGATGCCCGTGTGTTGATTTGAGGATACGGCGCATCAATGTTTCTCCAGGGTGACCCAAATGATCATGCCAAAGTGTAATTTCATGCGCGGTCTCTGAGGTAGGGCTGGCCACATAGTGGCTCCCTATAGGGCGTATGGTTGTAGTATACAGACCACTCAAGATGCACCTCATCTTCTCTAGAATACGCTTCTGGCCATATTCATAGTAAGTGATGCATAGAAATTCAACTCTGTTTTCTACATAGGTTTCAGTGTGGTAGTTATTGTCTAATTATTGTCTTGAATATCTTTAACGCCCAACAACGTTCCTCTGGAACGTGAAGAATAAAGTGTCTTGAATAGTCAAAATTATGCCATTGGACAACATTATATTGGGCTTTATGTATTCTTCAATCAAGTTCATTGGGCCTGAGAGGGTTATCAGAGGTGCATTTTTAGGTACAAAGTTAGTGAAATAGATGCGTTCACGCAAAATGGTGTGCATGGTTGCACTATCTGCCAGACAACTAACTTTCTCACTAGTCATACCTAGAAATAAAATTAATCGAACTAGTCACATGCATAAAAGTTCAAAAACTTAAACCCATTCAATTAATTTTTTTCGAGAAAAGTTTATGAACTTCAGGTTCATAGTTTCAACAAACAAACTCATGTATATACAAAAATATGCAACAAATATATACAAGTAGGTTTTTTAGGCTTATGATTATAATTGAATTAATTATTTGAACTTCGGGCCAAAATTAAAGTTTGGGCTAAAATATTGAAACCCATAAGGCCTAAAAAAATAGGCAATATAATTAGTGGTCCAAAGCATTGGACCAAAGCCTTGATGGGCTTTTAAAAACCATGAAAAAGATGGTCACGGGCTGAGAGTTAGGAAGCAGCCCAAAATTGGGTAAGATCTAGCATCCTAACGGGGGCAGCAATCGTGTGGTTCGCAAGCACGGATGCACCAGCGTGTGGTTGTGATCTGGTGTGGCGCATTGCAAGGGAGCAACATAGCCATATGGGGCTATGAACGTGTGCTTTGCATGCACTGAGACATCATAACCCCACGGGTAATGTCACGCAAGTT